GAATTAGAGATGAGAGAATCATTTGAAATAATCTGGAGTTCAAGAGGTGCAGTTTAGGGGAGATGGGGTTGAGTTAGTAACACTTGGATAATTATCTTCATGTTTGATTCATTTCTGTAACATAAACTAAAATATTATGCATCTTATTCCAAATGTAATGTCTCCCATTGATTTACCCATCGAAACTGTAACAGATACAAACTGCACAGTAACACAAAAGCCTGCAGACCACACTCAGAAAAATCCTCATCTGCAGTGGAGACCCACTGAAACACACCACCCACTGCCTCACTGCACTCACATCCACTGTTTGGTCTCCATAAATGTTCAGCAAGCATCATTCAATGTCAGTGACTGTAATGTTTTCTGCGTGTAGGAATTCTGTAAGAAACGTTTGCTTCATATGCACTTCCAAGTCAAATGCCATTCTGTCACAGTGTCCCACGGCTGCTATCTGTCACATGACAACAACATGTAATGGAATATTGGCAGGAAGGTTCAACCTCTACTGTCACAGAACCTAAAGCTGCTTCTGATGTCATGGACCAACATAATAAAATAGAAGGCATTACTTTTGCAAAAGCTGCCATACAAATAAAACCCAAAACAGAAAAAAAAAAAAAAAAAAAACCCACCAAAAACAAACAAAAACAAAAACAAACAAACAAACAACAAAAAAAAACCCAAACTAAGGTGCTTCATAGTTTCTATTGTTGTTCAATGAAGGCAGGTGCTTCATAGTTTCTATTGTTGTTCAATGAAGGCAGAAAGACAGGAACAGGCTGGAAAAGGAGGGACAAGAGCTCACTGAGCTTCCAGCCTATGAGTGAGAGTCATCAAAACCTAATTTGTACCAGTTCACAGTCCATAATGACTGAGACCATTTCTGTGTTTTGAAAACAAAGAGAAACAATACATTAATAAATGGTCTATTCAAAGAAGAGCAAGTAAATGCTTAAAATACTGAAATCTCCATTTAAAGAAGAAAGGTTAAAGGGTCCTCCTTCATAAGCAGCCCTATGAAGTAAAAGTCTAATTAACTGTCAACTCTGCTTTAAGGACAAGACCTTACTCTATAGCCAAGTGTGTTAAGTCATACTCTGAAAGATAAACTGCCTTAAATAAGAGGGAATATTATGGTGACTGTCATACTGATTATTCCAAACATCTGCACTAAGACTATTACTTTGATAACTGCCCAGATGTAAAATGTCTCTCTTAATAAAGTAGTGGGCACAAATATCACAAGCTGCCAGAATTATGACCAGTAGTAACTACAAAGATTGGGGTCACAAAGTCTTCAAAGCTGTGAGGTAAATGGACAAAATATTAGAACAGACCTAACTGACCATCAACCCATACCTTACCAGACCTATAACGGTGATAACACTGCTAAGGATTGTTAGTTTTTAATGCTTGTGTTAGCACTTCCATTTCTTACTCAGACAATTAGCATTACTATTAATTACAGAAATCAGAACACTTTAAAATAATGAGTGTTGAAGAAAATTCTTAGCTCCCTCACAGCAGAAAGAAAAGTAGTTTTTTTTTCCCCTCATGTTTAACGCCAATTAGTAAAGCATGGTTGAGACTCAACATGGAGTTCAAATGCAATTAAGCACTGCTATAATAAGTACTACAGTTAGTATTTACAATGTGGTTGTGGCTAATAACCAATGAGACTGTTGCTCATTATAACAGATAAAGTTTAACTAGATAATAACATATCTTACGGATGACATGGATGTCTTCTTAAAAGTACCTGCCACTATACTGTAGAATACTTTTTAAAATAATGAAATACTATTATAAAAAAGCATGATATAATGAGTAGGAGAAAGGAACAGGCTGTAAGAAGTAGAAGACTGCTTTCTAAGCTGACATGCCAGAAACACCCCCTCCTTCACTGATTTGCAAAATGAAAAGCAACATTATTTTTAATTACATATCATGAGTACAGATATACATACTCATAATTAAAAGCCTCTTGCATTTGAGCAAGCTGCACTGTTGCTGTTACAGTGTAGAATATCAATCAAGCTAAGGTATGACAAATGCCATTCTGCTCTGTTGCATTTCAGATTCTTAATTCTGAAATATTTCAACTGTGGCATCACTTCCTTTTTCTCCCTGAGATACGACTCCAGTTCTTCAATAAATATGACAGAGAAGCAGAAGGATAAACTTCTGCTCAAAGGAAGATATTTCCTTACCAAAAAGTTTAAGTACAAAATCACCACCAACAAAAAGATTTTCTTCTGTGATAGGATAAGCTTTTACCACAATATAGGAAGATATCTAGCTCTTTAAAAAATAATAATAACGTTAACCACAAAAAAAAAACAGCAGAGAACCGAAAGACAAAATTTGACACAAAAATAACCCTGAATGAAAAGGAATACCTTTGAGTGTTTCATCAAAAATTGGTTTAGAAAAGCTTTTTGAAAGTGCGCTGTCTGCATGCATGTCTGAACAGGATTTTTCTATACGCTTTTAAAGAGCATAGCTATGGAAGGCCCTGAATGCAATGTCTCTAACTCATAGGGAGAAGGAAATCAGATGCCAAACAAAGAATTGGTTATACTTCTGGCTACTGTGCAAATTTGATCTTTGCTCAAGCAAAACCAGCTTCCATTACTGTATCACTATTTGCAGCTGTTAAGAAGTGAACATTGCTAGAAGGCTTTGAAGTGATAGTCTTCTCAAGGGTTTAGGTTTAAGCAGTACTGGGTTTGGCTACCCCCAGTACTTACTGAAATGCTTTCAATTTCTTTTGTTCCTCTGTAGGAGGAATTTAATAAATGTAACATAATAATTCTATAAGAATAATATATATATATATAATGAACACAGATGATCTGATACTGCACTGGAAAAAACTTCCCTCCAACTATTTTAAGGGTATGGTCTCACCAGAATGGGATCTTTGTGGTAGAGCTACCTGTCATAGCACACACAGCATAATGTGAAAATGGTAGCTGAGCAGCTATCTTTACAACTGAGTTACAGCATGCAAGCATTCCCATGGGAATTGTGCTTCCCACTTTCCTTAGACTGAACTCAAAATCTTACAATGGTGTTTGAAGAAGCTGAGTTCTCCATCACATTTATAGAGCACATATATCCTTCAGGATTAAGAATCATAAGCATCTGAATTGGTCAAGTCGGATGCTCACTTCCTTCATATTAAATCAGGAATCATTGAGACGAGAGTTTGATTTCATTTCACAGTGTAGTATAAAAGCTTACATACCTTCAGCTGCCCTAAAAATATGCAAAGTTTATATTATCCCACTTTGTAACACTTGTGTTTCCAGAATCATAGAGTGGATCTTTTCTCTGTCTTCTCATTACACAGGGCAAAGGAGGTGAGAAGAGTTATTACAACAATTCTAAGAGAAATGCATCATTCCAGCATCAAAAGCCAGTATTACAAGCTGACAGTTTTTGGAAAAGGTCATGGCTTGTAAAACCAATTATTCACATAATTTCTGGAACAATATTGCTCTCTCTTGGAATGAGTCAGGAATTAATAACATAAACTGTTACATTTTATTCTATTTTTAATTATACTTAAGAGAATTTGTGCGATGTATTTGATTTCAATTCATTTGAATTTCATAGCAAAATGTATTCCCTCACTGGTTTCTTGTACAATTTTCTAATGCAAAATATAAAGGGCTCTTAATATGAACAAGTACCTTAATTTTTTTTATTGAAATAACTTTTCCACTTCAAATAAGCCATTTGTAGCTCATTTTCAGCTATGCAAGCATGATTTCCTTTAAAACCAATTAAAGGCACTGTGTCAGAGCTTTCTTGATGCAAACAGATCAGTGCACTTATTTCAGCTGAGGATTTCACTAATTCATGCCAGATTTCTACACCTTGTATCTTAGCTGAGAAGTCCCTTGCTTCTCGAAGACATATCTTACTCTTTCCCCAGGCAGAGGGAGGAATGATAACTACAAGATTTGCCTCATAATTTTCAGAATGTTTCCATTTGCATTTCATGTGATTTCCCAGGAGGAAAAAAAAAAAAAAAAAAAAAAAAAAAAGATAGTACACACTCCAGTATCTTGGCAAAATATTGCTCCATTTCAGCCAAATCTGACAGAGAGCTAAGGGTCTTGAAAGCATTAAACACCAGAAAAGAGTTGACCATGAAGATGCACGTGTACTTCCACTGATGAAACCACAGAGAAAGCTGCACCATTCCAGTAACAGGAATTTGCTGACTAGATAGCTGGTTATGAACATTAGGGTACAACTTTTCTACAGACATGAAAAAATAAGGCAAAAAGATGGGAGTGAAACTATGAAAAGAGATACAGGAAGCTGAGCTGGCACTGAAATTGGAAGCAGGATTTTAACAGGACAGTGCAAGTGAGACAGTTCACATAAAAAGAGAAAACCATTTTTTTTTTTTAAATGGAATTGGACAAGTATGAGAGAGGCTGCTATTTCCTGCATTGGTGACGTGCAGAATAGGTTCAAATCAAAAATTATGATATTTCATTAATTCTATTTCCTCGGCCTTAATTTGGTGTCACACAGTTGAGACAATGGCAATGAACATATGAGTCTCCTCCTTGTCTCAGCCAACAATTGGCAATGATACCTCTTGGCCTGCAGTGACAGCACTATTCTGAACTCCTGGGCAATCTGAGAGGATCTCATTCAGAGATATACAGACATATATACATGCATATATCAGAAAAAATCAGTAGCAGATGAGATATATTAAAACATGTTCCTCTTTTTCTTAAATAACAGTTCATAGCTCCAGTCTCTTCTGTTATTGAAAGAGTAGCCCTCTCAAAAACTAAGAATGTTTTATTATAGTTACTTCTTAAAATCTGCACAGTATTGTGTTATATAAGACCATCTGCTGACATTGCAGTAATTTAAAGGAAAGGAAGCAGTAGTAACAGCACTTCACAATACATCAGAAGCCAAAATACATATACAGCATTTATAGAAGAATGAATTAACTATACCTTAAAAAATAAAGGCTCTTCTGGAAGAGGGCTAACAGGGAGTGAGGTGGTGCTGCTAGCTGGACTCATGTCTGTACTCTGAAAGAAAACACATAGAAATTCACATTGGCAATCAAGTTTTACAAATCTCTCTTCATATTTTGGGGAAGAAAGAGCTCAAAAACTATACTTAAAATTCAACAGAATTAGATTGAGAAAACAGCTGCCATCTATACAATACTGATCATTAATTAGTAAAAGAGTGTTTCACAACGAGTATTTATTTTTTTATTTTGAACAAAATCCTCATTCAAAGACTGAAACACATGCACAAACATGCAACTGTATCACATCTACAAAGAATAATCATGGAATCATAGAATCACAAATTTTGAAAGGACCTACAAGATCATCTAGTCCAACCGTCCATGCAAGATGAAAATCAAAACAAAATCTCACACAGAACAGACAACAATATATAAATTATGTATTTGATGGTCAGATGTTGAAATTAGAAGGCAAAACTAATAGGAAAACATACTGCAGAAAAGCATCTGAATTAGTGTTTTAAAAAGATCCCTTTCCCATGAGTTAGTATATGTTACAATTGAGCACCAGTAGATGAAACTAAAGAGTGAACAGTAAAACTAATAATGAAGTCAGTAAATGTATCCAGGCAAAATGACTAATAGACCGACGCAAAAATCCAGTCTTTTTAAGGCTATTGACATAGTTCTCATTTGAATAGATAAGTCATGTAAAAGAGGAGCATGGGGACTCTTTTTCATTTGTAATGGTAATAATGACGGAAGAACAAAATCTTTAAGAAAATGCAAATATGATACAAAATTTTTCTGAAGAATACTAGAATGTGTAATACTTCTAGGGAAACAAGTCCATCAGTGCCACGATTTAATAAATTTATCTTACGCAATTAACTAATCAGGTATATGTTTTCACATCACTATGATGGGACCCATTTAATAGGCACAAGATCTGAAAGTAAAGAATATTGCTGGACCCCATTAAGTTTCACTAACATATGAATATATATATATATATAAATGTAGGTACTGGATTTTATTCAGCCAGCTAGGAAAAGAAAAAAAAAAAAAAAAGAAAAGAAAAGAAAACCTTGTTACAAAATCCCTATGTCATAACTGATATCAGATAATTCAGAATTGATACCTATTGAGAAAATCATTGAGTTTAAATAGATACGTATGTTATACCATATCTGAAAGAAAAGACAACAGCTGCTTCTTGAATAAAGGGAATGTAAGTAAAGAAGGAAAGAGTGTGACACAGTGTTTATTTATGAAGGAGAGAGAGAGAGAAATAGGCAGTTTATAATCCATGCAACACAGAGAGCTTGTTGGGGAATAAGAGAGACTGTACTGTATCAGAAAGCCAATATCTTTACCACATTCACCACGTTCTTTTCAGTACAGTTACAAATACTAACAGTTAGGCTCCTGCCATTGCTCATCAAGGAAAACGACTGAGACTATTTGTTAAACAGAAGGGAAGAAGAGCTCTTTTAGATTAAATCCAAAGTAAAGTCAAAACCAGAGACCTCCTCTTCGAGAATGCTCTGTCTTAAAGGTAGACAGTTTGTGTTTAACACAGTACTGAAAAAAAAAAAATAAACTAAGCAACTGCTTTCCAAACCAAATCATACACCCTAATTTTCAATTACAAGTGAATGGGAAGACAGTCAAACACTGAAATTGTCTCAGTATCAAAATCAGCAATGCAGATTGACCCCCCTGCACACTGCATGAGCTGCAAATTCTTCAGCAGTAGCTAAAAATCCAAGAAAGACCAAACAACCTTGAGAACGCTGAGGTTGTTTTGACAAGACTTCCCAGGGCACGTCCCCACGCTAGCCTTAGCAGAACATCAGCTCCTCCTGCAAAATGGACATGAGACAGCCCTTGTCTGGACAGCATACTGACATAGCACCGTGCCTGGACTAACAAAACTGTAACAAGACAGGGGACAATATTATGGGCATGACGACTGTATGGCTTCCGGGCAGATTTGAGTCTTGCCAGGCTGGAACACTGGCACAAGTGACTAGGTCTGACTGCAACTATTCATGCATACATACCCTCAGCAGCCCCTCCAGCAACTCTAGCAATTTTTTCTCCAACAAAAGAAAAGCAGCAGAAAAGCTGCTCTGCAGTATAAATTAATTAAATTCAGCGTCATTAACACAGTTTGTTATAGCAAAGAATTGAGTGAGACAGTATCACAACCCAAGTATCCTGAAGAGCACAGAATGTTGCAAAGCTTTAAACATCTAAAATCCATTCTCTACACAAAAGATATCCAAATATCAAGCAATTCAGATATTTCCTGAGTACAACTGTTTAAAAAGTAATGTCTTGTCTATGTGGAAAAAAAAGAAAAAAAAAAAAAAAGAAAAAAGAAAAAAAAAAGATTTTGAATAGGTTTCAGTGCTTGAAGTTTTTTTGTGGGTGTTTTTTGTTTGTTTGTTTGTTTGTTTTTTGTTTGTTTTTTTTTTTTTGAGCATTTTTGGAGCAGGGTGTTAAAAAGCAGCAAATGGATATCAGCAGAATGCTGCCAGTAGATATTCTACAATCTCAACCATTAATGCTCAATTATTTTTTTTTTTTCAATTTCTACAACTGATCAGCCCAAATATATATCATCCTCACTGCAAAATGAACAGGTAGAAGAGAGTTGCTCTTGGGCTCTGGTAATCATTTTTATTTGAAGACAAATGTTTTAAAGAAAGTAATTATCAGGAATTTTCTTTAGAATAACGCGAACAAAAGGAAGAAAATAAATTTCAGAAAACAAACATTTCCCTTATGTATGCGCTACTTGGTGACTGAAGATCAGAACCCTCTGGTTCAGTGGACAGAATACATTTCAGCTGGATGAAAGAGAAGGAAGGATCTTCACGGATCTGCTTTTAAGTAGTGGTAAGCTTGATGTTTTGAGATAGGTATGCACAAATAGAAGGGAAACAAAACATAATCCTTTATGTCAACATAAAATGTCTAATGGCAAATTAGAGAATGCAAACAGTTGTTTCAAGCAATACAGCAGTTGAGGAATATACAAAGACACATTGTTAAAGCCATACTCCTTTAAAATCATCGATCTTTGAGCCTTCAGACACAGTTCTTTAAATGAGAACACATTCACCTCACTTGTAAACTGGGACTTTTCCCATTACAGAGCCCTGTATTTAATTTGATCTTCTCTAGCAAGAGGCTTATGTATCAGCCTTAGTTAATTGTATCATAAAATTTATGCATATCACTCACAGACAGAAGTCAATTTAATTTGCTACAACTGCTTTTCAACAAGGGTAAACACTGCAATGATAGTTGGCAGACATTAACTTCTCTAGAGATCAGTATCACAACATATTGATCTAAGAAGTTAATACTGACAGAGAAGAAAACTTTCTGTGGATATTACCGCTGTAGAGCAAATAAATCTTTATAATAACAAAAGAAAAGTCAACCTGTGTACTTTATAGCTTTTTCTAAGGAGTAGTAGATGAATATTGATGTTACTTCTGGGGTGATAGTTTTAGTTGTATCATGAGTTACGCCACAACTTTATAATCTAGAAGCTGAGTACAAGTGAGAACTGAAATAAGTGCAGTCAGCAAGCTCAGCAGTGACATTTTGATATACTGAAGGTAATCAAAAGCCTGTAAATGGATTCATTAATGGATCTGCGCAGTATCTTTATGAAATATTGTGCTTAAATATTATCATCCTGTTCTATCAAGAACAGTGATAAAAAGAAGGTGAAGCAGTTTGCTTAAAGCTAGACAAGGCTGTTAAAAACAAAGACGGGAATCAGGAATTCACAAGTCCAAGAGCTCTAGTTATTCTTCCAGAGCACGCGTTGCTCCCCCCTATGCTTTTGGACTGCTGTGGTATCTGCCCTTTCCAAGTTACTTAACATCATTAAGAGCTTTTACTGATACGTATACTTAATGGAAATAAAATTACTACAAACAAAATCAGTTTTGGTAAGAAAAAGCATTAGGCACATGAAATAAGCTTTCAACTTTCATCCTCCTCCATGTTTGATGGATTTTCCCCCACACTTCCCATCTCACTCAACGACAAAGAATGGAAGCGCTTACTTAAAATGTCTCTAAGTTTACTTCCTATCATATTTGAATACTATGTGGGCGGTTGGTTGTAATTGTATTTCACATGTCTTTTGTTAGTAGGGATAGTCCATTATTCTAACTGATTACTACCACTTGCAGTTATCAACTGAGGTATTTGACTGCTGTTTTCAGATGTTTGGCTGGCACATTGCCTACCAGTGTACATAGCTGCTCCCATACCTCTGTATGGGTCTTGTGTCTGTCCTGTGTTATCTTAGTTCCCATAGCAAGGGAGAACCATAAACGACAGCTGATACCACTTTTTGCAACTTTTTTGTACCAGGAAGTGAGGCACAGGGAAACAAACAAGCTCTTAGTGGTTCAACCATCAACCAGCATTTTGGATACAGGCAGATAGATTAGGAACAGTTTGTCTTACCATCTAGGCAAAGCTAATCAACTGAGCTGTGAAATGTTAGTGGGAAATATTACCTCATTTAAGATGCTGAATTGTCACTTAACAGAATTTGTATAACTAGTACTGTTTATTTTAGAAGGTCTAGAGTTCTCAGTAATACTAGACAAACACATTAAAAGTGATATTTTGTACGTTAATTAAATAGTTTAGACTCAAATTAAATTTTCATATAGTTTAATTTACATTTAATTTATTCAAAATATTTACATTTCACTTAATTATCTCCATGTTCCTTATATTAAATACAGAGCTATAAGGATACCAAAGTACCGGGGAAAAATAGTTATCATGCTTTTCAATTGCTAAAAGAAGAGGAAATGAAAATACCTAACATATATATTATCTGGTTGATAGCAGGAGAATGTCAAATTAAACATGTACAATTTGTAAACAAAATAGAATGCTGAAATGAACTAAGGCTCTAAAGCAGGGTCAAAAATTGGAGAGTGCTGGCTTAGTATTGAGTAAACAAAGTGGAAAAAAAAAGTCTGTTTTTAGAAACAAAATATT